CGTACCTGACTCTACCAAACCAAACTAAAGTAATCCTCGGGTCCCTAGGAGAGGGCATGAGGGGTGGCAAAGCAGTCCTGCCCCAGACTCGGGGATGTCGTAGGGAAATGCCAAAGAACCATCGTCAGGATCTAAAGAATTCTACGGAGGTAGGGACAGAGGACAGAATGTGGGGGGCTACGCTGGTTCAGGGAATCAGGCTGAGGGAAAGGAAGGCCAGGGCAGCCTTGCACAGGACAGAAGAATGTGTTGGAGAAGAGCAGGCTGGAGTCACAAGGCTGGGAACGCTCATAGGTGAGTAAAGAGCAGAGGGCGGATGGTGGCTGGGCCCAGGCAGCAGGGGGTGGCAGGGCAGTGGAGGGAGGGCCACCAGCGGCTTTGCAGGGCTCTTCAGGCAGTGTTCCAAGGTGAGGGCCAGAGCCTTGGACCTTAGCAGTAGGAAAGCAGGTCATATTTCACATCCTTTCCTGAATAGAGAGATTGGATTTGGTCAAGAATAAGTCCCTAGGAGGCCATTGTGAGCACCCGCCTGTTTATCTTGTTGATGAATATAGAGCGGGAGCAAAGTTGGGAGTGTGGGCGTCTGACAAGGTCTTCATGATTCTAGAATCACTTATTACACCTTCTTCCTCCTCCTCTGCCTTGGCTAATGGGCTGTGGGTACCCAGTGCACAAAGGGCAGCGAGACACTCGCTGTGGGTGATACACAGGCTGGGCCCTGCCCTCCTGGCCGCTGAGGAAACTGGTGCTTGTATTTAGTTTGTATCTGAACTATCCCTTTGCCCTCAGCAGGACTAAACCTTTACCCCCTTGCAATCTCTGGGTCCCTTCAAATCCTGCAGCGTGTTCAACGACGTCGACGACCTGCTACAGGATTTCCAGTCCCAAGAATTGGGAGTCTTGTCTGCCCCTCCCATCAACCCCACCTGCACAAGGAAGCTTCATTTGCTTTGGACCACAAAGGCGGCCTCCTGACTCCTCTTTCCCTGAAATCCAGCTCTTCTTCTGGAACCTTCATCTTGGATCCTGGAGCCATCATCCAGTGAGTCACATGGGGCCGGAAATTCTGGATCTCTTAGCCCCTCTCAACTTCTCTGTCAACAAATATTTATTGGACATCTTCAAAGAGGCCCACGCCCTGTTCATGGTGCATCACAAAACAAATCCTGCCCTCATGGGGCTTGCTGTCAGCTACCGTGGTGTGGACTCTCCTTCTGAGCCTCTGAGGTCCCCTCCTGCCTGCTGTCATCCTCGGTCCTCTCTGTCACCTGGAATTCTCTGCTCAGATGCCAGCGTGATCTTACAAACCCAGTTCAACCCTTGTTGACACTTGGCCAAAAAATCTCAAATAAAGACATTTTAAAATGTGGAGTAAAAAAATAATGTTGTAAATTATAACAGACGGCTTTAAAAAAACTGCACTGAAGCAATGTTATTCTTGGATATATGTATGTGGCAAAAATATAAAAACATGAGCTGGAAAAAAAGAGCCCAAATTCATGACGGCAGTACCTCTGGGTGGGAGGGGCATGGGACTGGGAGGGGGAGCAAAGGAGAATATTTATCTCTAATCACTTTGTTTATTTTCTTTCCAAAACTCAAGAGCAAAGTTGACAAAACATTATCAGCAGCTTAACAACAACCTTAAGTCTGGAGAGTGGAACAAGAGTGCTATGCTATTATATCTTCTATATTGGAATTTAAACCATCACAGGAGTCCCTCTCTGTCCCCTCTCCCTTCACCTGGCATAGTGACCCTTCTCCAAAAGCTAATAATGAGGGATTATTAATGTCCCTCTTCTCTGAGGGACCTCAGTGCCTCTGCCTTTCTCTTCTCTTGGGTACCTTTTTCTGCTTGGTGGCCGCCTTCTTGACCCTTCTAGACTCAGCCCAAGGAGGTGGTAGTAGGGTGGCTGGTGGAAGGAGCTGTTTCTGGGAAGGACAGTTTCTTCTTGTCCGGGGTTTGCATCCAGCTGCAGCTCGAGAGACAGATCACCTGTTTCTTTTTATTTAAAGTCTGGTTTATTTCAAAACCATTATCAGTGAGAGAGAGTAGAAAGAGTAAGACCCTCCACAGTGCCCTCCACCCCCCAGCCTCTCCAAAGAGCCCAGCCCTGAGGCAGAAACTTTGCAGCAGAACACGGAAAAACAGATAAGCTCATGCCGGGCTCTGGCCATCAGGGTTGTCTGCAGTCTGGCTTCCCTGGGAGAGTTGGAAGAGTCACTTTAGTGTAGGACACGCTCTGCTGTAACTGGAGGCCAGAGATGGCCAGGACCTGACTGGACACACCAGACCTGGTGAGGTGCTGGATAGGCACCCACACTCTGGGCCCACAGCGCCCTCCACTTGCCACCTGCCCATGCTGTCCCTTATCTGACCTCTCTGCACCCTTTGAGGAAGAGTCAGTAAAGCCTCTTCTGTGTTATCCTCACAGCATCTTTCACAGACTAGGATAGGTCTCCCTCATAGCAACACCCTGGGGCAACTTTCTTTTCCACTTGATAGCACACCTCACCCTGAATGACAACTGCCTATTTGAGTCCTGCCTTCTGCACCAGGGGGTACTCTCTGAGGGGACAGGCCCTGTCTGTCTTGTTCACAGTTGCAACTCTGGTGACTACACTCTGCCTGGCTCATAACAAGTGCTCAATACACTTGTTTTTAATAGAATGATAGAATGAATGAGTGAACTGTCTACCCTTCTACACTGAGCACTGTTTTGATGAGGACTATGCCTTGAAATCACCTCTGGATCTTTTTTTTTTTTTTTTGCCTTGTACAGAGTGTGCCACATAATAGGTGCTCAATAAATTAGGGATTGATTTGAGCAGATGGACCTCTGTTCCTCCCCTAACAACCTGGTAAGTAGAAGAGAAACTTTGTTTCTCTCTCCTTCCTCCCCCAACCACATTAGCATTGGTGGTTGATGTTATGGGGCTCTTTCCTCCTTCAGTCACCATGTATTCAAACCTTGTAATGGTACAACAGAAGCAGGTGCTCAGACCCTGAGTCCTGGCATTCCTCCTGTGGTCTAGCCAAGGATGGGAGGGCCCCCCAGAAGATGCTTCAGGCTTCCTCCTGGTTTACTTTAATATCCAGCATTACTTAAGATCCCACTGTTTACCCTGAATTCTCCCTGCCATTCCATAAGCCTCTTTTTATCTTACTCTACAGTCAAGGAAAATACATTGCAGCCAAAGAGTATCTGCCCCTCAGCCTGAAACAAAATATAGACTCTGTCCCACCTTACAATCAGGGTTTCCGCACTTGGAACTTTTCTTTTCAAGTTCCTATCAACCTTCTACTTCTAAATCCAGTCTCCTTTCCTCCAGGAAGACCTCCTTTATTAGTTGAATATATCTTAACTTTCAACTCCTTCTCCCATTACTCCACATGCCCACAGTGCTGTGCAGTTGGAGCTTGTTCCCTGTGCTTTTGAAGTGTGTTCTGTCTTCCTAACCATGATGCATAAGCATGCATTACTTTTTAACCAGGCTTGATAGATGGTTATCATAAATTGATAAGAAGAAAAAATGCACACCCAGAAGAAAATAGAGGAGTTTTTCTATTTTTGCTTTAACACAGAAATTGTCATTGTGGTGCTGCAAGCTCTGAGGCCCAAGAGACCCTGGCTTCTGCAAAACATGTTAGGAAGCTTACAGTATCTGTAAGTGTCCAAGAATAAAAACCATTTCCTTCATTTGTATTGTTTTTCTAATTCCTCCGCTCCAAGTTCTTGCCTTAACCCCTGAGTGTTGGTTGGTTGACTTAGCTTTGGATAGTGGTCCACGGAGACCCCTGGATACTTTCAAGCCAAAGAGTTATGTCCTGCCACGTCGATGTAGATAGAGGAAGGCCCCATGAGAGGAGGACGTTCTCCTGGGCCTCGGTTCCCAGGCTGGGGGTGGAGGTTGGGAAGAAGGAGGAAAAAAGCATATCCTGAGCTGGCAGTTGGGGGCTAGGTTGGGGGTGGTGGGGAAAGAGAGGAGCCTGGGCCAAGGCCAGAGGTGGCTCCCCGGGGAGCCCTCGGAGCGGGCAGCCGGACGTCTCTCCACCCTTCCCGCCTGACGGATGGGTCTGCTGCTCAGGCACAAGCTGTCGGGCCAGGCCGCTGCCAAGGCAGAACAGTGGCGCTTCTGTGCGCTGGGCTCGGGCCGCCGGGAAACCGAGCGACTGATGGAGAAAGCAGACGTCCCGGAACGGGAGTCACGAGGGGCGGGGACCCGAGCCGCTGGGTCACAGGAAGCATGTCTGCCTCCCAGAAACAGGGACCGCCGCGCCAGCCTGGGGGAGAGGGTGGCGAGCCGCGTGCGGGGCGGGGGGTGGGGTGCCTAATCAACGCGTGGGATTGTTTGGGGGAAGCTGAGAGCCAGAAGGACGCGAAGGACCGTTGGGCCGAAGAGCTCTGTCATTTGGCCACACGCTCCCTCCCCTTTAATGACAATAGCCATTTGCATTCAGTGACGCGTTGTCTGGTCCTTAGTCAGACGTTCAGAAATCCTCCGACCTCTCCCCGCACCCTCCGCCTCCCCCACCTCTGCGGACCGTCCGCGGCCTCTCCCCGGGCCTCCCCTCCGCCCCGGGATCCCGAGGCTCGGCGCTCCGCCCCTGGCCGGCTCCGACCCCGCCCCGCAGCTGCCTCCCCCTCAGCGTTAATTAAAACTTGCGAGATGGAGAGGCTGGCGCGGGCGGCTCCGTTTTATTTGCAGCATCTTTCATGCTGCTGACGATCGTAAAGGGCTTTAATATTGAAATATGGGCCATTTTCCCAGCTCCAGCCCTCGCCGCGCGCTCTCCACACCCCCACACCCAGCCACCCCGAGCTTGATGAAAGAGCCCCTGCAAATCCATTAAGAAGAGATAATTGAAAACTCCGGGGTAATATTTAAGGCCGCGCCGACGCGGGGCGGAGGGCCCGACGGAGCCCGCCCTGCGGAGAATGCCCGCGCGCACGCCAGACCCCGGGCTCCTGGCCCACAAGGCCACCTTCGCAGGGCCTGCGCACTCGTGCTCTCCAAGGCCAGCCCTGTGCTGTCTGGGCTCAGAGCAAGAGCGGCCGGGAGACTCCTAGGTCCGAAGAAAAGAGTGCAAAGTTTGGCCCAGTCACCCACTGCTCACCTTGCCCAACTCCTCCAGCCCGACCTGGGGCACAGGCCTCAGGTTCTGCCTCATGCCCCTGCATCCAGCGTTCCTCTTGGCCTGCAATGTCCCTCCAGCACTTGGCCACTTGGGGATTACTGTTGCCCCTTCCAAACCAACCCACCGCCATCCAATTGATGGGCCTGGGGTGGAGAGTGGCTGGAATCCAACCTCCATGTCTGACCACAAGGTGGTCCTGGCTACAGTTGTTTGGAAAGGTTGCAGGGGCTTAATATATTGTCTCCTTTTGTACGTTTTTGATCCTCCACAAGATTTGAGTAAGCAGTTCTGAGCATCTTCCTTTGTACCTCCCTATCCCATAAATATGGGCTACTGTCCTGTCCATTGCTGCCTCTTAGCACATTGTGTTGTTATTGACTGCTTAAAGTCTGTCCTATGGGGCTGTGACATCTTGAGGACAGTATCAGGTCTAATTTCTTTCCTTATCCTTTGCTCCTGGCCTAGTGCCAGGCATAGACCATGTAATCAGTTAATGCCATTGAGTTGGCTACTGTCTGGGCCCCTAGAGGCCTCCAGGGTTTCAACATTAGGCTGTAGGCTCCTGGGAGAGTGGGGCACAGTGTGGAAGATGGGCAGGTTCTGGGAGGCTGTGTTAAGTTCATGACTCTTTTCCACAGTGATTAACTTCAGGGTGTTCCTAGTTTGGGAGAAGAGGGTGGGGAACCCTATTTGCCTTATGGGTTCTTTGTGGATATTTCTCTGCTTGATTTGGCTCAGTCTTCTAATCAGATCAGACTCCATGGACCTGCTGTGTGTGTGCATGTACACACACACACACACACACACACACACATTTATGTTTATTATCTGGAGGAAGGGCGAAGGGAAGGGTATTTCTCTATTTGATTCAGTCTAGACTCCCAATCAGATTAGACTCCATGGACTTGCTGTGTATACACACACACACACACACACACACACACACACACACACACACATCTATATCTATGTGTATTATTTGGGAAAAGGGTAGGGGAAAGGAGGGGGGGGTTATTTGAAGATTTACCCATTCAGAAGGCATGATAGGCTCAAGTAGTCCCAAAATACCCAGCTAGCTCCACCTCTCCACTTCCGGAAGTGGAACTCACAGGATGGCATCACTAAGGGAGGGGCTGTTCTGACTCAGCCCTTTGTCCCCATTTTGGCCCCAGAGGTCACAGTTGCAGGGATGCTCTCTGAATGGCAGGATGAGGCCCCAGCCCTTTCCAATCCAAAAGCATTAGAGCCACAAAACATCAGAGCTGAGAGGGGCCAAAAGAACTTTGGATCCAGCCCTTCTTGGTGTCTATGGGGCAGCTGAGGCCTAGGAAGGATCTGGAATATGCCCAGGTCACCAAAG